GTCAAATTAAAATAAATAAAGTTAAATAAAATAATTCTTAAAGAAAACCTGAATATGGGAACCAGCAGTTAGCGTAATGGCTATGTCGCTGGACTCCCACGTAGTCGACCGCGGTTCGTGTCCCGGACCCGGTGGCTTAAAACTCACGCCGGGCGCGTGTGCGTGCGTGCCCAAGATCCCGAGAGGAGAATGGAGAAGGGATTGCGGCGTGACCATCCCCCCTGGGGGGTGATTTCTCGCTTTCTGTCTCTATGTCTCTCTCTGTCTGTCTGGCGAGCGCACGCGCCCTACAGTGAAAATCGCTCCAAAAAAAAAAAGAAAACCTGAATATTTGGCAACGCGGAGAAGGCATTTTCACATGACAAAGAAATGAGATGAATAGAAGCTGTCCCCTCACTGGCCCCCAGACTAGACCCACACCCTTCATTTCTCCCTGCCCCATAGCTGCCCACTCACCCTCTTCCCTTCATAAGCAAGTGTTCATGTGCTAATTCTGCAGTTCTGCGTTGGCTTGAGAGTATGTGACTTGGGTTAAAGGAAAAACAATAAGCTATTTCCACAGTGTTGATTACACATGGGAGTAGGGGGCACGGCCATGGAAGAGAACCTAGAGACCAGCAGTGGGATTGCCTTCCCCCACACTGCGGGTTAAGTAAGATGCGTGGGAAAATGCGGAGCGAGGTGGGAGCCAGGAGTCCTGTGCGTCTCGGAAACCTCTCTGTTCATTGTTAGGCTTCACTGGGCAAGCAGTTCTTGTCTTTGTGCTTCAATTCGTTAGGCTTCACTGGGCAAATATTTCTTGTCTCTGTGCCTCAATTCCCCAGCAATAAAACAAGAAAGTCTACCAGATCATAGTCCTTAAAGGGTCCTTCTCAACGCTCTCTTGGTACTCCTCCCTCCACTGCCCCGGGGAAAGTCTTGAAGGAAATCTTCCTCTTCCCATCGAAGATCTGCGGAATCGTACTTGCCACCTCCGTGGCTCTGTCCCGGTTTCTTTCGGGGATCAAGTCAGGGGAATCCAGTCCGGTTCCGCGAAGCTGGGGTGCGTTCTGTGTTCTGGCGCTCCAGAACTGGCCAAGGCGCCGCCAGATCCCTGCCACCGGGCTCCTGTCCGGCCCCAGCCGGCGACGCATCGACCCTAGCTAGGCAACCTGGCCCTCACCCAAGCGACTGCTCGTTCATTTTGAGAGCGCCGATTGGGGACACCCCCTGGCAAGCTGCCCCTGCACCAGCCTCCCTCTGCCGGGGCCGCCCCTCTCCAGGGAGCTGCACGCTCGGGCGGCGCTGGGACCCCTCGGCAGCTGCAGGTGCCCGGCCCAGCCCAGGCCAGCCTAGCCCGGCCCAGCCTAGCCCAGCCCAGCCCAGCCCAGCTCTGCTCCGCGTTCGCTCGCTGTCGCTGTCGCTGTCGCGGCTGCGCCTGGCAGGTAGGTGTCTGTCAGCGCTCACTCTTCTCTCGGAGTTGCTCCGCTAGCTCCTGCGCATCATCCCGAGCTTCACCGAAGGAGTGAAGGAAGGACTGGGTTGAGGTGAGTGGTGGTCTCGATTTAAAATCAGTAAATAAATCTGCGTACTAACGGTACTGCAGGGGGAGCTAGAAGTTTAAAGGGAAGAGAAACCAGACAAAGGCAGCCGTCAAGAAAACTCACAACCAGACACCGGGGGGACCAATCCTGGCTCTTTGGTCCCCCCATTGGGTTCCCCAACCTCGCACCGACTCAGACCCAGGCACACCAGGGGACTTCAAAACGTTTGTATAAAAATGGGATTAAAGTACGAGTTTACTTTGGTCCAGAACGATTTTTTAATGGATGCATTTGTAAAAATAGATCATAGTCATTTCCCATGAACTTTTTGAAGACTTTTTGTAATTACTGCGTGAAGTTAGTGGAGGTATTTCTGCTTAGTATCTCTCATCCACCTTCCAAGCTTCCTTTGATGGTTGGTTTCATCTCCACAAAGATGTAGTTTTTTTCCTCCCAAGACCGATGAATTTGAATATTTTTACACACAATGGACTACTATGCAGCACTTAAAAAGCAATTATGGACAGTCTAGATCAGCAGCAAATGCCCAGATCTCAGAAGTATAACGGTAAGTGAGCACAGCCGGGTGTGACTAGACCTGTTCTATGACACCATGGAGGTGACATTTTCAAACATTTCCATGTATGTGAAATTGTGAGTAGACTGTAAAATGCAGACTTAGATTCATGATTATGGCTATCTTTGGGAAGTATGAAAAAGAAATCTATTTGGCCTAAGGATCAAGGTGGAAATAATGTTTAGCTAAGATATCTAATAAATAAAAATGACGATGCAAAGTGGACAACGTATATACAATGGTTAACTGAGAATGTTGTTCATTTGGGTGTTTTTTCACAGACTTTTGTTCTTCCCCATGTTTCTAAATATTTCCCAGCTTAAGAAGCTTCTGTTTTTCCAATGCAAACAAAAGAAGCTGTCGCTACAAATGCTATGAAGTGAAGTCTAAACGGTTCCATCAGAAGTTGCAACTTTCTTGCATCACACCCCGTGTTCTCCAGTTCTAGAACTGGATCTTTTGCATCTGGGAGTGTTGACTGTTCAGGGGAGTTCACCTGTTCATAACTCCCAAAAGTATAGGGTAAAATGAAATATTGGTATTGGGGAACTAGTCCCTGGTTAGTAATCTGATAAGACTGACCCTGAAAAGTCCATGTATTCTGCAAGACAAATATCTCCTTATTTTGTATTTTTTTTTAATGTTTAGAATTTTTATTTCCATGGATGGTGACTGTCATCATGACATCTCAAAATGATGCTTATGTAACACTGCAGACTTAGTCCCGGGAGGTCAGGAAAGGTTTGTGGGGTTTGGTAGAAGAAAGCCCTGCATCTCCACTAGACTTTATTTGGTAGATTGGAAAGGATGCATCTTCATTTTCCTGCCAGAGAGGATAGTTTCTTCTAGATATGAGAGGAAGTTATTTCATTTGGCTATCCACATGGGGGAGAAAAAGCGAAAGAGAATTCTAAACTAGATTGTGCATCTGAGCGGCAGTGGAGAGAGTAAACCATCACTCAACATCTGCTTGCCCCTTCCCCAAACATAAATGAAAACAGTGCCTTGTTTGCATATTTTCCCCCAGTAAAATCTCTGGATCTGTGGTGAACAGAATTGTCTGCACATCGGAATGGAACTCCAGAGGGTAGACAATTGTGATGATGTTCTCTCTCTCCCTCTCTCTCTCTCTCTCTCTCTCTTTTTTCTTATTCGACAATTTGCAAGGTCAATGCTTGGTATGTCTTGTGTTGCATGCAGACAGGCTATTTGAGAAAAAACCTGAGGTGTGAAAAAAAGAAGATAAGAATGACAAGACAGGAATGTAGTGTGAAAACTGTATGTACTCAGGTTTTAAGCACAAAATAAAAGAGAAGTAATCCCAGCATGCAGCATTAATAATGACAACTCCTTAAAATGTATGTTCTCTGTTTTGGCCAATACTATCTTTCTGTGCAATCAGTGGGTAGGTCCTTACAAAATGCAAAAAGAAAACAAAAAGGTGTTTTGTTGTTTTTTTTTTTGGGGGGGGGTTGGTTTTTTTTTGTTTGTTTGTTTGTTTGCCATTTGCTTCTCCCCAACTCACAGTAAAACACAAAGGATGCTCCACTTATTTGTCCTAACTCCCTTGTTTACTGGAGTTGAAAGCCTCTTGAATTTACAGTGTAAAGAGCCAGTTGTGTTCTTTCTGTCTTCCTGGATCTCAGTAATCCCACTGAGCTCCCTTCGGCCACCTGTTACTACCTTCCCCTGCCGCTCCCCCTCCCATGCCATTTATTGTTTGCTTCCTAATTGCTGACTCTTTGCTCTCTGTTTAATGATTCTTTTTTAAAGTCTGTAAGGCAGTTTGCCAGCAGTTGGCTTTTAGTATGAAAAGTAGCATTTCCTTAATGAGTTTGCCTTCCAAATGAAGGCTTTACTTACATTTTCCTAATGGGAATGTGAGCTGTTCTGCTACATACAGTTGCTTAAGGGCTTCCCAAACTTTTTTTTTTAAAATAGTTTTCAATAAACTTCATTTGCTGGAGACAGAGATAGAGAGAGAGAGAGAGGAAGCCAGAAGGGGAAAGAGAGGGAGAGAGATGAAGAGGAAGAGGAGGAGAGAAAGAGAAAATACTTCCCAGGGGGATAGCTACACTGTAATCTCATCTCCTTCATCCTCTTCTCAGAATTTTGGGCACATATGCACCCACCCCACCCCCGTATTTTTCAAGCCACCAGATCCAGGACTTGAACCATACAGGATCTAGTCACCTTAACCACCACACTTCTCCCAGATATATTTTTCAGTAACCTCACTTAGCTTAGATACTTTGTCCAATTCTGCCTCTAATCTATATATATATATATTTTGTGAGCAAACCGTTCAAGAGAAAAAAATCAATGAACAGGTGTCAATTATTAAAACAATAATGCACAAGGGACCAGCAGGTGGAGTAATGCTTACATTGCTGGACTCCCACAGTAATCAACTGCAGTTCAAACCCTGGACCCAGTGGCTTAAAACACACCTGGCACATGTGTGTGCATGCCCAAGATCCCAAGAAGAGAATGAAGAAGAGACTGTGGTGTGGCCATCGCCCTTGGGGGTGATTTCTCACTTTCTATCTCTGTCTCTCCAACGAGCACATATGCCTTATAGCAAAAAATCTCTCTTAAAGAAAAAAATGTACATACACACATAAAAATAAAAATAATGCACAAGGAGATACTACTAGTATCGCACGTAAGAGGCACTAACATTCATTCTTTGCATGCTGTGTGCCGGGCATTGTGCTCACTGCTTCCACACACTGTCTCATCAGCTGTATCCAGGAGCCATATTTGTCCAAGACATGACAATTTTTCCAAGCCATATAGCTGAGCTGAATTTTAAAATATTATTTCACACACAATCTGGATCTTTACCCATTTTTTGGTAGATGTGAATATCTGGTTTCCCAGGCCTGTGTTTCCCCTTGGCAACAGCAGTCCACCTCTTTTGGCAATGGAGGCAGAGTCACCACTGTCCTCACAATGCACCAATGTCTTTATTTTTTTTTTTTTTTTTTGAAGTGTTTTTGCTATAGGGCACAGTGCGCTCGCCAGAAATACAGAGAGAGACAGAGAGACAAAAAGTGAGAAATCACCCCCCGGGGGGATGGCCACGCTGCAATCCGTTCGCCTCCATCCTCCTCTCAGGATCTTGGGCACACATGCACACGCGCACGGAGTGAGTTTAAGCCACTGGGACTCGAACCGCGGTCAACTACATGGGAGTCCAGCGGCATAGTGATTACGCCATCTGCTGGTCCCACACTCATGTCTCGTACCTGGTTTGGTTTATGCACTTATATTCCCTGACTGGCTCCTACAGGAGTAGAGTGTGTGATTCCTGAGATAGACCCTGTTATTTCCCTCATTCCAAAGGCAAGAGTAAATGCTCCAATACATGTATAGAGTTAAATGTATGTGTATCACATTACTTTTTGAAATAAGAGCTATCATTATCTCCAAATTTAAGGAAAGGATCAAAAAAAAAAAAAGAAAAGTATTTGAAGGAATTTAGCAACTTGTTGGTGTGGAGAAGCCCAACCCAGAACTTCTTCCTTTTATATTGAAATACTTTCCAGAGCAGGAGGAAATAGATAACAAATGCATCTTGATGACTTGAAAAAAGTCAAAATTATTACTGCTTACAGAAAACAAACAAACAAAAGAATGCTTAAGATTAGCATATCTTCAGGGCCAGCAGGTGGCGTGGTGGTAACAGTGCTAGATCCCACATGACCAACGCTGCCATTTGGATCCCAGACCTACTGGCTTCACAAACAACCTGGGCACGTGTACATGTGTGCCCCAAATTCTGAGAGCAGAATGGAGGAGAGGGGGCTGGGGGGTGGCCATCTCCTCTGGAGAGTGCCATTTCCCCCCTTGGGGGATGATTTCTCATTTTCTGTCTCTGTTGCTCTCTGTTGAGTGTATGCACCCTATGGCAAAAATCTAAAAAATAAAAATAAAAATAAAAAGCTCAATGAGCATATTTTCTTAGCCCAGCCCTGGAAGCACAGGTGGTAATATACTGATTTGCAGTGCTGGAAGCCACATGGTCAATCACAGGTTTGGATCCCGAGTCGACCTCAAACACACCAGGTGCCCAGAATTCTGACTAGTGGAAGGCCGGGGAAGGGGGTGACAGTGTGACAAGAAAGTGCCTGTCTTGCCCACTCTTTCTCTGTCTCTTGCCTGCATGTATGCTGTCTCTCTTATGAAATAAAAATATATATATAAAAAATTAGCATATTTTCTCCAAAATATATATTTGCAATGAAATACTAATTTTATTCCATAGTTGCTAAATAAAGCATATGATTATGATTTAAAACTTTTCTTTTATAATTGGAAAATACTTTGCTTTGTTACTATGTAAGTCCAGGTCTGCTGCTGGTGAGGCCATGTAGTGTATTTTTCTGTTGTTGCTTGATGTTTTATTATATCTGAAATCATCATTCTCAATCAAATTTCCTACTCCAGTGACACAGATTCAGTTAATATTTTGATCGTGGTCTATATTTGGTTGCCTACTTATACCATGTTATTAACATACCACCTCTTTTTCTTTTCTAAATATACAGCTAAGTGTCAGGACCTGTTTTGATGAAGATGCATGTTTCTGCTAGAACACTGTAGCTGGAGGATCCAGGTCTGGGCAGACTTGACCATGGGAGCCAACACTTCAAGCAAAGCACCAGTGTTTGATGAAAATGAAGATGGTAAGAAATACATGAGAGTGATATGTAAAAAAAAGAATTTTGTGAAATTTAAATATAAGTTCCCAGTTTCATAGTAAAGGACAAGTATACTCTATTGAGATTTTAAGGGGAAAGGTAGAGATGAAAGGATAAGTCTAAGGACCTTATAGTAGTAGTAGTAGTATTGAAGAGGTTTTTGCTATAGGGTATGTGCGCTCTCCAGAAAGAGAAAGATGGACAGAGAGCAAGAAATCACACCCTGGGAGGATGGCCACACCTTCTCCATTCTCCTCTCGGGATCTTGGGCACGCACGCACATGCGCCCAGCAAGAGTTTAAGTCACCGGGTCCAGGACTCTAACCACAGTCGACTACATGGAGTCCAGTGACATAGTCATCATACCAACTGCTGGTCCCAGGACCTTGTATACTAATGGGTAGAATTTACTTTCCACTTTTCATGAGATCTTTGGAAGCTTTCTTTTTCACAACTTCACCAATATCCGTTCTTTCAGGAGAGCTGTGGTTGGGCACATGGTGGATAAAGATTTGTTTGTTTCCTGTGCTATTCCCTTAATCTTTGAAATGACTCCCATTGCTACTTATTACAGAAAATTTCTTATATTATCAAATTACATGGGAATGATCATTGATAATCATAGTATTATAGAATGGAGTTATACAAGGTAGGTATCCTCTAAATTTTAAACTGCCATGTTTCTTTTTCTTAGACAAATGCTACAATGCTACATCATAGGAAAAAGAACCAGTTTCATTAAACAAAAGAGATACTTTCAAGGCCAGATTTAATGAACAAGAAGTAAAGACATGACTCCTCCTGATTCTTCTATCATCCTCCAATGAGGCATGCTGGGAGTGAGGGCGAGCTTCCCCTACCACTCTTCCTTATTGTGGAAATATGAGCAGCCTTATTGGTATATGTAGAGTGGCAGTTGTTCATGGAATGTCTGGGAAAAGAAGGTCCTGGGTCCCAGGTAGCAATTTTCCATGCCTCTGTCAGGGAGCCCTCTGAGTAATTCTAGAAACTTCTGCTAACTGGACCCTAAAGGAAAATAATTCAGAAGACCTAATGCTAGTCCTTCTACCAACTACCTGTGAGGCTCAAGAGGTTTATTTGCTCACTCTACTTTTTACTTCATCAATAAAGTAAGGAGATAGGGTAACCTTCAACTTCCTCATCAATAAAGTAAGGAGATAGGGTAACCTTGAAGGTCCTTTCCAACTCAGAAAGTTCTTTTCTTAAATTTTTATTTTATTTTATTTTATTTTATCATTTTGAGTTCCTAAGACCTCTGCAAAATCATGAGACAGCTTATAACCATCAAGGAAAGTTCACTGTTAGAATGTAAGTTGATTGCTGAAATATTAGGTTGTAGGGACATATTTTTTTCTGTGCAAAACCTGCAAGGTGACTTTTCTGACATCCCAGTAGAAACTACAAATAGCAGTGGTTCAAGCAAGATGGAAATGGTTTCTTTTTTCACACAATGATCTATATATTAAAAAGTAATCCAGGCCACATGTATCTCTAGAGAGTTAGGGACTCTGACTCAACTGCTTGTTTTCTCCTATTCCTTGCCATCTCTAGGGTGGTACCTCATCCTTATGTCTCAGGATAGCTCACCACCACATCCACATTCAACTAGTGAGAAAGGGGAAAAGAAGGGGAGGTTGTGCCCATTCTTTTTAAGGATTTGATCTGGCTCATCACTTGCACTCATATGCACATGCCTAATTACAAGGGAGACTGGGAAATTTAGTTAGTTATCTTGGGTGGCCATGATAAGGAGTTCTGTTTAATTATAAAAGAAGAGGTGTATTAATAGCTTGATGTGATGGGAGACAAGTTTGCTCTGGTTGGGGGACACAACCTTATTTTTTTAATGAAAACACTATTTAAAACAGAATATGTGACTGATCAGTTTGGAAGCCTATTCTTACTACTTATACAATGTGCTGCATAGGAATCCTGAAATGACATAACTGTGAAAGGGTCTTAAGAAACCCCTCCCCCTCTTTTTTTTCCCTTGCTTTGTTTTATCAAGTAGTAAAAGCAAGCATCTAGATACCAGTGATGTTACCTGATTTTTCCCATCTCTACAATGGAAAGACAAATAGGCTTGGTTTCCTTTGTTTAGTTCACTGAGCTCCCTACGGAGTCAGAGCTAATGTTGTGCGTGAAGCCAGTCCTCCCAGAACACAGTGGGGAGGTCAGCTTCATGTTTGTGATTTGCTAGGTGTATGTATCACTTGAAGGTATTAGCATAGCATTATGAAAGAAATCATAATTACCCTAAATCATCTTTGATCTATCCAGCCCTTCTTTTCATGGGGTACCCAAGAAAGTTATGCAGTCAGGGAGTGTGACAACTGGAAAATAAGGAACCACTTGATAACTACCTCAAGGAACTCTGGAAAACTAGGCTGGAGAGGATTTAGACTTAAGGACCAAGCAGGTCTGTCCTACTATTCTCTAGGTCACCACGTTTTATTATTCAGCTTCCCCAGCCAAATGAAATAAACCTACTACAGCACTCATTAAGAAAAGAGCTGAACATAGCAACAAGTTTATGTTCCCAAAAGGACCAAGCTCTCAGTCCATCTACATATACAGTTGCAAGGTAGCAGGATATAGGAGAACAAGCCAACCAACCCATCTATGAATGATGAGCTTTCACTATGCTAGACATAAGGACTGGAGGAGGAACCAAGATGGCCTCAGCCCTGTCCTTGGGAAGCTCATGTTCTAATGGTGGAAGGCAAACAATAAACACCTAAATGAATACACAAACCAGCTCATTTCAGATTGTGTCAAAGTGCCTCCAAGGAAACGACTCTGAGCAGTCTCATGGAGAGTGACAGAGTAATGGTGGGGTGGTCACTTAGATAGGGTATGGTCATGATTGTCCTCTCTAAGGAGGTGACATTTGAAGCTTGAAAGATGGGAAGCAGTCAATTATACAATGACATAAGCGAATAGTTCATGCATAAGGAAAAACAAGTCCAAACTCTAAATCACAATTGATAGTTGGCTAATTGCCTATATCATAACATTCTTTGACCCTTACAAGTTTAAGGGATTATATTTCATTGCCATATTAACTTAATTGTTTATAAGACCATTGAGTTTTGGGGAGAAAAGGTGTGCCACTCTGGGGAATTTCCTTTTTGTTTTAATTCCATTTATCTTGTAAAGTTTGTCTCTTTCCTTTCATAGCTCTGAAGTGAGCACAAGGCAAAATTTTATTTGATTGTTGTGAACCTTCTGACCAAGACAAAAAGAAAAGCACTGACTAATCAAAGAATATCAATGCCTAAGTCACTTTTATATGTGTATTTTTATATAAATAATCAAAATGGGCCAGAATCTAGGGCACTAAACTGAGCCAATTTAATTATTTTAAAAATATTGCTGAAAAGAATCCCAGTGTGTGATAAAAAGTATTTAATTTCCTCTGAATTATTTAATATTCTCAATATAAAGATAGGAGAAAAAAATTGAAACAATTTCCCAAGTCGTATTTTGGAAATTATTTCACATAGAAAGTGTTTTTGTTCCCTTTGGAGGGAATTAAGCAGAAAGATAAGATACTGTTGGATGCCCCCTCAGATAAGCTATTCTTGCTAGAATTCGTCTATACAGTTATACTTTATGTTGTTCCATTTGATATCTCATCTTAAAAGAATCATGCTTTTCATGATTAATGTTGACCTTCAGTGAAAATGAAGCACATGATTTGTAGTGCTTGTCAACAGAATAAGGTTTACTGATTTGATTACTGTCTTAATGTCATTTTTATAAATTAGATCTCAAATTATACCATTGTTTTGTTTCATGGTTTCAGTTTTAAATTTTAATGCAAACCTAAAATAAGTTCTTACTACCTTTTTTTTTTATTGTGGTAAAATACATATAATAAAATTTGCCATTTTTAGTCACTTCTTACAGCTTAATGGCATTAAGTACATTCACACTGATGTGCAACCATCACTACCATCCATTTCCAGAATACTTTCATCTTCTCAAACTGAAACTCTATGCTCATTAAACAATAAACTTTCTCTCCTTCCATTGAGAGGTGCTTTCTCTCTCTCTTTCTCTCTCTCTCTCTGTCTTTCTGTCTCTCTCTGGTGAGTGTACATGCCCTCTCAATTCCCCAAACCCTAAATAATTACTAGTAAATTAATTTGGGGAAAAAAACAACTTCTATTATACAAGTCATTTAACCTCTGTATGTCTCTATTTCTTCATATGTAAAATTCAAGTAAGAATTAAACATAATTCTTTGGGTCATTTTGAGAATTAAATAAAATAATGCAAGTAAAACATGTTGAGCAAGGTATTTCACATAAAATAACCACCCAATTAGTGCAAATTAATATTCTTTACTAGTATCAAGTTCTCTTAGCTTGAACTCTTTATATACTTCTGAAACAAAATTAACTCAATGCAACTACGTAGATACTGTAGTCACCAGGACATACTTATGGTGCTATCAGTTGAAAGAGATTGACAGAATGGTGGCATTTATAGGTTTTACAAAAATCTGTATTAACAACCCTTTAAAAGAAGCCAACTTACTGACTATACAAAAACACGGTCTCATCTGGTTTCTCTTTTATTCCTCCTAGAGTGATTGTATTCTCATTTAAGGCAAAGTCAAATATCATTAAGATTAAAATCAACAAAATTTTGCCTTTTCTGATTTAAGTCCCAAACTATTAAAGACATTAACAATTTGATCAACAGATATAATGAAAATTATCCCCCATACCCAACTACCATATGGATATTTTGAGAATTATTGATTACATTTTGAGTTTTCCAAACAAACAAACAAAAAGAAATAGGAATACAAGTGATGCTTATTTTTAATGCTTGTTACTTTTTTCTTTAAATCTACTTTATGTCCTCTATTTGGATGCAGTTTCTGTGAGTTTTTTGTTGTTGTTTATTAGAAAAATCATCATTTTCTTTTTTTTAAGAAGATTTTTCCTACA